ACAACCAAGTGAATACCTCTGAGCTCTGGTAGCCAGTGGGGTCTGTGTTCAGGTTTCCAACAAGAGACTAACAAAGAAACCGGTCTTAACTGGCTATCACCCCAGGGGGTCAGTGTAAAGGGAACAGAACAGGGAGATACATCTATTCTCCAGTCTTGCCCTAAAAGAGGTTTATTTGCATACTTTAAAAGCCTCTGCCTGAGGGTCTGGCATCCAATCAGCCTGAATCTGGGTACCAATAGGTCTTGGCACAACCTCAACTACTGGAAACTCCTCAGAATAAAGTGGGCTGTTTAGACAATCACAAAGGTTTGAGAAACAACCAAGAGCTAGGTCAGAGTTGAATGATAAGTTTCATTAACAAAAGACCACTCCTTCAGGACTGGAAGAGGTGTTTTATCTAATGTATAGAAACCAACACAGAATCAAAGAAAATGAAGAAACAGAGCAGTATATTCCAAACAAAAGAATAAGATAAAGCCTCAAAGACCTTACTGAAATGGAGATAGTGATTTACCTGATATAGAATTCAAATAACGATTATAAACATGCTCACTGAGCTCAGGAGAACAATGAATGAACAAATGAGAATTTCAACAAAGAGGGACTATAAGACACCGCCAAATAAAAGTCACACAGCTGAAAAATACAGGAATAGAACTGAAAATACAACAGAGGGGCTCAACAGCAGACTAGATGCAGCAGAAAAATCCATGAACTTGAAGACAAGGCAATGGAACTCATCTAATCAGAGCAGCAAAAAGGAAAGAATGAAAGAGTGGAGACAGCTTAAGGGATTTATGGGACAACATCAAACATACCAATATTTACATTATAGGGGTCCCAGAAGAAGCAATAAAGGAATGGAAAACTTTTATAAAGAAAGGATGACTGAAGAGTTAGTTCCCTAACCTGGGGAGGGAAACAGACCTCCAGATCTGGGAGGGCCAGAGAATTCCAAATAAGATGAACTCAAATCCACACTAAGATACACTATAATCAAAGTGTCAGAGGTTAAAGACAGAGAATCTAAAAAGTGGTAAGAGAAAAACAACTTGTTATATACCAGGGAATCCCCATAATATTATCAGTGGATTTTTTTTTTTCAGCAGAAACTTTGTAAGCCAAAAGGTAGTAGCACAGTATATTCAAAGTGCTGGAAAAAAAGAAATTGCTAACCAAGAATACTCTATCTAGCAAAGCTGTCCTTTAGAATTGAAGAAGAAAGAATTTTCCAGACAAGCAAAAGATAAGGAATTCATCACCATTGGACCAGCCTTATAAGAAAGGTTAAAGGAACTTCTTTAGGTGAAATGAAAGGGTACTAATTAGTAACAGAAAACTCACTGGTAAAGGTAAATCTTTAAAAAAAAAAAAAAAAGATTTTATTTATTAATGGGGGGGGGGGGCAGAGACACAGGCAGAGGGAGAAGCAGGCTCCATGCAGGGAACCTGACATGGGACTCAATCCCAGGTCTCTAGGATCAGGCCCCTGGGCTGAAGGCGGCACTAAACTGCTGAGCCACCCACCTGGGCTGTTCTGGTAAAGGTAAATCTTAAATAAAATTCAGAATAATCTAATGTTGTAAAGGTAGTGGTTAATCACTTACAAAGCTATTATGAAGATTAAAAGACAAAGTGGCAAAAATTACTATAACTACAATAATTTGTTAATGGATACATAGATAAAAAGATGCAAAATGGGCACCTGGGTGGCTCAGTGGTTGGGCATCTGCCTTAGGCTCAGGGTGTGATCCTAGAGTCCTGGGGTCCAGTTCCACATCAGGCTTCCTACAGGAAGCCTGTTTCTCCCTCTGCCTATGTCTCTGTCTCTCTCTCTCTTTCTCTGTGTGTCTCTCATGAATAAGTAAATAAAATCTTAAAAAAAAGATGCAAAATGTGGGTGATGGGAATAAACATGCAAAGGTTTAAAATGAAATCAAGTTATTATAAACTTTAAATAGACTCTTATAGTTATCTAAGTGTCAAGGTAACCACAAAGCAAAAACCCTATAGATACACAAAAAAAGATGAAGGAAGCTAAGCATACTATAGAAAACCAAGAACAAAGGAATTACAAAACAGCCAGAAAACAATCATCAAAATGGCAATAACTACATACCTATCAGTAATTACTTTAAATGTAAATGGACTAAATTCTCCAATCTAAAGACAGAGTGGCTGGGTGGATAAAAAAACCAAACAAACATAAGATCCATCTATATGTTGCCTGCAGGAGACTCCAGATATAAGGACACACAGAGACTGAAAGTGAAGGGGTAAAAAAAGATATTCCATGCAAATGGAAACGAAAAGATAGTTGGGATAGCTATACTAGACAAAACAGACTTTAAGACAAAGACTAATAAGAGACAAGCTTATTACAGAATTATAAAGGAATCAGTCCAACAAAATGTTCTAGCATAGGAGTACTTAACTATATAAAGTGAGTATTAACAGACCTAAAGGGAGAATAGACAGCAATATAATAATAATAAGAGGCTTTATTATCCCACTTTCATCAATGGACAGGTCATCCAGACCAAAAATTACTACAGAAATACCTTAAATGACATAGTATTCCATCCAACAGCAGCAGAATACACATCATCTTCAAGTGCACATGGAACGTTCTCCTGGATAAATCATGTGTCATGCCACAGGATGAGTCTCAATAAATTTACAGATATTGAAATCATATCGGCTATCTTTTCTAACCATGGTGGTATAAAACTAGAAATCAGTTACTAGAAAAAAATTGGAAATTCACAAATATTCAGAAATGAAACAACATGCTACTACATAACCAATAGGTCAAAAAATAAAAATCTTGAAATGAATGAAATGAGAATACAACATACCAAAACTTATAGGATGCAGCAAAAGCAGTTCTAAGAAGGAAGATCACAGGGATAAATACCTACACTAAGAAACAGAGATCTCAGAGAATTGTTGAATCACTATATTGTATACCTGAAACTAATATAATACTGTATGTTAACTATACTGGAATTAAAATTTAAAAAAAAATCTCAAAACAACCCAACTTCATACCTCACCTAGCTTAAAAAAAGAATAAAATAAGCCTAAATCCAATCATGAAATGGGCAAAAGACATGAACAGAAATTTCACAGAGGAAGACAGACATGGCCAACAAGCACATGAGAAAATGCTCCGCATCACTGGCCATCAGGGAAATACAAAACAAAACCACAATGAGCTACCACCTCACACTAGTGAGAATGGTGAAAATTAAGAAGACAATGTTGGAGAGGATGTGGAGAAAGAGGAACCCTCTTGCACTATAGGTGGGAATGTGAACTGGTGCAGCCACTCTGGAAAACTGTGTGGAAGTTTCTCAAAGAGTTAAAAATAGATTTGCACTGCTGGGGATTTACCCCAAAGATACCAATGCAGCGAAACGTGGGGACACCTGCACCCTGATGTTTATAGCAGCAATGTCCACAAGAGCCAAACTGTGGAAGGAGCCTTGGTGTCCATCAACAGATGATGGATAAAGAAGCTGTGGTCTATGTATACAATGGAATATGACTCAGCCATTAGAAACAACAAATACCCACCAATTGCTTCGAAGTGGATGGACCTGGAGGGTATTATGCTGAGTGAAATAAGTCGATCGGAAAAGGACAAACATTATATGGTCTCATTCATTTGGGGAATATAAAAAATAGTGAAAGGAAATAAGGGGAAAGGAGAGAAAATGAGTGAAAATATCAGTGAGGGTGACAAAACATGAGAGACACCTAACTCTGGGAAATGAACAAGGGGTAGTGGAAGGGGAGGTGGGCGGGAGGTTGGGGTGATGGGGTGACAGGCACTGAGGGGGGCACTTGGCAGGATGAGCACTGGGTGTTATGCTATATGTTGGCAAATTGAACTCCAATAAAAAAATAAATAAAAATTAAAAAATAAAGCCTAACATTAGGAGAAGGAAGAATAAAGATCAAAGAGGAAATAAATGAAATAGTAACTAAAAAGACAAGAGAAAAAAATCAATAAAACTAAGAACTGGTTTTTTAAAAAAGATAAACCTTTAGCTAGACTCACCAGGAAAAAAAAGAACTCAAAATCAGAAACAAAAGAGATATTACAACTGATAGCACAGCAATGCAAAGGATCATAAAAGACTACTACTCTACACACCAAAAAAGTAGGCAACCTAGATGATAGTTAAATCCACAGAAGCATCACCTACAAAGACTGAATCATGAAAAAACAGAAAGCCTGAACAGATCTTTTACTAGTAGGGAGACTTTTGACATGTTTTTGATTCCTAATTCAAACAAAAGCCCAAGACTAGTGGCTTCATTGGTGAATTCTACCAAACATTTAAATAATTAATACCAATCCTCAAACTCTTTTCCAAAAAAACAGAAAAGGAGAAAACACTCTCAAACCCAGCTTTACACTGATAGCAAAAATGAATGACACTCCAAGAAAATTACAAGCCAATATCCCCGATGAACATAGATGCAAAAATCCTCCAACAAAGTATTAGCAAACCAACTTCAACAATACATTAAAAGGACCTTGATCAAGTGGGACTTATTCCAGGGATGCAACGATGGCTCAACCTCTGCAAAGTCTATCAGTGTAATATACCATATCAACAAAATAAAGATAAACACAATATGATCATCCCAATAGATACAGGAAAAAACCATTTAACAAAATTTAACATCCATTTATAAAACTCTAAACAAGAAAAATCTTGAACTATGTTAACTAGGTAAATTGTGATCATTTCACAAATATACATATATCAAATCATTATCTTATACATCTGGAACTATTGTTATATCCCAATTATATCTCAATTTTTTGGAAAGGTTTACCTTCCCTTAAATACTTTATTATTATCATTCTAAAATAGCTTAATAAATAATTGGGTGTATTTTTCTCAAATACTTACAAAAAAATTTTTTTCCATACGTCATAAAATGTACTGTTAACATTTAATGCTCTTTTTGTCTTGCAGGTGTAAAGGGTCAAGTTTTTGACCAGAATGGAAATCCATTACCCAATGTAATCGTAGAAGTTCAAGACAGAAAACATATCTGCCCTTATAAAACCAACAAATTAGGAGAGTATTATCTTCTCCTCTTGCCTGGGTCCTATGTATTAAATGTAAGTATATAGCCCTCGTTATTGTTATTAAAACATTTCAGAACTTGCAGTAGTTACCCAGAAGGAATCTGAAATAAGTCTGGAAAGTCCCAAAAGTGATTACATCAGGATAGAAGGAAAGGACATCACCAGACTTAAATTTGGCAGGGAGTGGAAGAGGTGAGAATGATAGGAACAAACCAAACAAATCACAATTTTTCCCACCTGGCAGTGTTAACAGAAGCCAAATCCTATTTCTTGTGATATATTTTATGATGAAAGGTGGAATGAACTTTATTATTAATAAGAATAATTAAACAATGTAGCCAAAGTGCTTCCAAGCTTCGTGGAATACCATTTTAACACCCATTTCATGAAACATAATTTCTGCTATTAAAGAATGGATTGGGACACAAGTTCCTTAGAATTCATTATAAATAACATTTGATCCACAAACTTTACCACTATATAAAAGCAAGTGGTAGACATACTTTGCAGCCCTTTCATAAGCAAATGATGGTGAGTTCCAATTTATACAAGTAAAATTCCAGGTTTAATTCTATGAAGGTGTTTGAGTCATTTCCTAGAGGGAGGCTTTGTGCCCAAACAGATTTATCTGAATGAACTAAGTGAATTAAGTACCTGATTTAATTGGCCAGACTGTGCTTCTTCCTCTTTGATACGACTTTCTCTAAGAATCTCAAGATTCTTCTGCTTTGCTTAGTGGGTCTGATGCCAGCTACAAAGCAGTCTTTCTGTACGAAGTGACTCCTTGGAAAAGGTGGTCATCTGCTGGGTAGTAAAAACTGGCTTTGTATTTTGTTATGTCCTAAAGGTAAAATGGTGAAAAGCATGTTATTCAATTCATAAAAGTTTAGGATGCAGAGCTTCTCTATTCCTATAGGTTATTCCCCTGGTGCCCAGCAGTGGGGCTTATCAACGGCTAATCCTCTTAAGAATCGCCCCTAGAACTGGAAGGGCCGCAATTCACTGTGACTCTCTGCCTAAAAAGTCCCTTTATTTTCCTGTTATAGTGACCTTTCTATTCCATGAAAAAACAAAAACAAAAAAAAACGGGGGGCTTTGGGAGAGTCCTTGTAATGAGTCTAAATTATCATGTAATCCCCAAAATAAGCCACACCTTTATAAAGTTATTAATTGTTCATTTCCATTTAGACTAAGTACCTGTTAGCCTTAGCTACTAGTTCTAGGACAAGGGTGGAGGGCAAGACTGGAAGCTGAAATGAATGACTAAAATATATACCATCTGCTGCTTATGTAAATAATTGTCCCCATTCTCTTCCTTCTCCATATATAATAAAAGTGTTTCTCAGGGGTGCCCTGGTGGTTAAGTATTTGCCTTTGGCTCAGGTCATGATCCTAGGGTCCTGGGATGGAGCCCCACACCGGGCTCCCTGATCAATGGGGAGCCTGCTTCTCCCTCTCCCCTGCCCCCCGCTGGTACAAGTACTCACTCTGGCGCACGCGCTCTCACTATCACTCTCGCTCTCTCCATGCTCGCTCTTCTGTCAAATAAATAAAATATTTTTAAAAGAAAGTATTTCTCAGTGGACATCATCTGTAGTTTGGCTTTTGTCCTTTCTCCTGATTTCCTCCATCAATCAATCCAGCTTAAGATTCAGGCTCAGGAAGAAAGCCAGGTAAAAACAAAGCCTTTTGAGGAAGCAATAAACTTGTACACTCAGATCAGCTACAAGGAAAATGGAATAAATTGAGAACAGAATTCCACGTATAATCTCGATACCCAATCAGGATATTAAGTATAGACTTGGGACAAAGGGAAACAGTCAACTTTACCTTTGTTCTCCATAAAAATGATGAGAGAATCAGCCTACGGTTTCCTTCTCTTAGCTTACATCTCCTGATAAAGGACCTGTCTTTATTGCACTTCATAACTCTGGGCAACAGGCATTGGACAACTCATTCAGTGAGTAGGCCTAAAGCTGTTACTAGCCTGGGAGGACGGGCAGATGGTTATGTGCAACTCATGAAGGCTGTGTTTTAGTGGTGGATGTCGGTGTTTTTAGTGTTGGCACCACAAAACATCTGAAATCACTCAGATGATTGTTTTTTTGTTTCCTCTCAGGTTACAGTCCCTGGACATGATCCATACCTCACAAAGGTGGTTATTCCAGAAAAATCTGAGAAATTCAGTGCTCTTAAAAAGGATATTTTACTCCCATTCAGAGGGCTACTGGATTCTATCCCAGTATCAACTCCTTTATGTCCTAAGATTCCTCTGTATAGGAATTTGCCAAGCCACTCAGCTGCAACAAAGCCTGGTCTGTTCATATTTCTAGTGACTGCCTTTCACATATTTGTCAAATAAAGCAAAATGTGAAATACAACCCCCCATCATCACCAGGAATCAGGAATTTCATGCCAGGTTACTGCAACTCTTAACTCTCCCTGTGGGATCTTGACTCAACAAACTCCATGGCCCTTCCCAGAGAAGAGAAATGGTGGTTTTCAAATCACAACAAGCAACATGTGGTGGTGATAACAAAAGGAATGATTTGATCTTGATGAATGGAAGATACTGACCTTTCAAGTAGTCCACTTAATCTTGAAGTTGTCTTAGAAATTTGTAAGAAAAACTTGAGAATCAAGAAAGAAGTTTCTGCAAGAAAAATATGAAGCAAATTTTGTACACAGAGAGCCAGCTGAATATAAGCAATGAAGATGAACATTCATGGATTACCTACTATATCCGAAATCTTGCCATGAGTGCCATATGTGAAGATAGAGGAGGTGCCATTTTTAATTCATTCCCAGCACAGGGGAAAAATGATGGTAGGACTGAAATATTTCATTTCATAAATGTTCTAAGGAAATATGAGAGAAAAGAGGCAACCATGTCTCAATGGCCCAAGAAAATAAGGGCCTGATGGAATGGCAAGGTTCTAACTACAGAGCCCCAAAACAACAGGTCACTTAGGTGTCCCTGCCTTTCTGCAGATGCAGATGCCATAGTTCTGTTATGCTGATGACCCCCAAAAGTGTAGCTCTAGCATCTCGCCTGAGCTTCAAATTCAAGTGCAGCTTCTCACTATATATATCCACCTGGATGTGACCCACAGGTACCTCAACTCATCATGTTGAAATTAAACATATTTTCCTTCCTGGAGCTGCTTTTCCTCCTAGATTTTCTCTGAACCACCAAACGAGAAACCCTCTTGAGAGTCGTCCTTGATACTTTGTCCTCTTTCCTCATCCCATATATTCAGTCACTTGCGATTGATGTTAATTATAAGTGTTATAATTATATTATAAATTATAAACCCTCTCTCCGTGGCTAGTAACATTGTCAAGTTTAGGCCATCACAGCTCACCGGCACCACTGCAGCAGCTTTACTGGTCTCTGCGCCCAGGCTTCTCCTCTTCAAATCCACACAGAACTTGGAAAGTTCTACTTAAAACAAAAAACAATCAACTTGCTTAAAATTCATGTTTATCATCTTCAGAGCCCAGGACAGAGTAGAAACCAAATGAATGAGTAAACAAAGAGTTCTAGGAACCTACAGTCCCGGTCCCTCCCACAAGCTGTGTTGGGCTTTGAGTCATTTTGTCAGATGAGGGCCTCTGCGTTGGCAATCTCCAGCTTAGTAGTCACACTGACAGAAGAGTTTTCAATTATGTCTCAACAAATAAATTTGAATACAGTGTTTTTACTATGCTTTGCCTTTATCCTAAGGTTCGTAGTAAACGTATTGTTACCTGTTAACAACACAAGCTACCTTCTTTTGTCATCAGAAAACAAAAGTTCTACCATTGGTACTCAGCTTGAAGCAACTGTTCTCCACCTGCTATCATGAGAGTTAACCTATCTTAGAACATTTTATCTAAGAATTGAGAGGGGAAGCATCAAACAAAAAAACAGCAACTCATAAGCAGATGTCTAAGTGCTATATATTGCTCATGGAATGTAAGTTGCCTTGGGTCTTTCAACTGAGAGTTCTCTAGGATTTGAAAATGAAACTATACTGGGCTTGGTACGTGATGAGTACGTGAGAACCACAAACAAATGGGAGCTATTCCTGTGCCAAACTTATTCCATACACACAAATCATGCTTGTTAATCTAAACAGAATTTGTGATCTTCCTATTTCTTATAAAAGTCTGGTAATAACTTGAATTATCTGGATCATTTTTATTTAAATAAACTAATTTATACTTGAATGTATTACTATTACAGAAAATGATTTTGGTATGCTATAAAGCACAGAAAACTCGATTTATCATCAAGCCTTGTTTTTCAGTCAGTCTGAGTCCCAACTTTTCTACAATACCAATTTTCAAAGGGACATGAACCAAAATCTGAACTGGTTCACAAGCCTTAATGTAATTTCCTTAAGGAAATAATGTTTTAAAATCAGAAATTTTATCAAAATCATTTAGACACAAGTAAAACAAAATAATCTCCAAACCAAATCTAAACCAAACCTGAGTTTAATACAGAGCACGCTCAGGGTACCTATTTTGCAGCAAAGTACTCAGAAGTAAACTTTGTAGTGAGGGTTTAGGATAACCGAATCTCAAGTATACTCTCCACCAACCAAGTTCAGTGTCCAAGTTGGAGAATTCCAACTCTCCTTAGACCAGAGCCCCAAATCTCCCTGCATCACTCACCTCTTTTCTACTATCTCTTACCCCCTTATGGTGGTTATGCTCCTCAGCTTCTAAGTTCAGGTATAAATTTCCTTCTATGGAGAAAACAACATGGTAAAATTTTACAAGATAAAAGAACATGGGAGTTAAATTTGCAAGAACCCCATGTTCAAACCCATCCCACGTTCAGTTTCCTTACCTGTAAAATGAAGACCCTTGCTTGACTGTTTCTGTGACTATCTAAAAGCTGTGGTTTTAGATGCCTTATTTTGATGTCATTCTTGGTGCTTGCCCAGGCGCAGAGAGGATAATTAACACTAAGTGGCATAAATATTTTGAAGGCAGCATAATATATCTTATTAAAGACCAGGTCTTTTGCCTCATAACAAACAGAATTGACCGGAGAACTGAAACACTGGTTAGCTGGGATGAGCATTTACTGTTTAAGGAATCTCCTGAACTAACACAACTTTTTTTTTTAATCTATCTAAATTATGATAAACGTTAACGTGAATAAATCTAAATGGAGGGGAGGAAAAAAATAAAAAAATAAATGGAGGGGAGTATTGTAGAGAAATGTGAAGTCCCCACAGGTAAATGTCAATTTGATTTTGGTGCTTAATTATCATGTTCAGACTTGAGCTGTTACATGTATCAGAGATATTAAAAGCTTCTCAGCATTTTTTAAAGTCTTAAGAAATCAATGTTGTGTTTTGTTCCAGAAGCAAATTTGCATTTGTAATTTTTTTTTAACTGTTGTAAGAAGTTACTTCTAGCTTTAGAAAGTAAAAATATCTGATACTGGATTGGAAATAATCTTTTCCTAGAGAATCCAGAAAAAATGAGCACATTACAACAGGGTAAGCTGCTTATCGAGAAGTTTAGAGATATTATGGTTGTCTTTTTTATGACAGGTCCCTTATATCTTCCTCATGGCTTTAGAAGGGGGGAGAGAATGATTATTGAAGAACCAAAAAAAAAAAAAAAAAAAAAACCAAAAAACCAAACACCACATCACAATACCTAAAATAGAAGTTTAGGAAAAGAGTTTGAGTGTTTGAGTTCATTAGAGACTTTACATTATATCACTAAGATCCTCTCCCACTCAGAGAACATTTTATCCTACTTTAGCATATGAACTATTCCACAGCGTTTTATAGATGTTTCACAGTTGATTTTGTAAGTTTTCTCAGTGACTTTCTTCTGTACTATAAGAACGTTCACAAATTGTCTAAGACAAAGTTTACTGGGTAGGGGTCATGACTACCTCTGAACTTAGTAAATTTAGAATATTCCTGGTTCTTTCTTTAAACAGATTTTTATTTGAGAGAGAGAGAGAGAGAGTGCACAGGAGGGGTGGGGGCAGAGGAAGAGGGAGAAGCAGACTCCCCACCAAGCAGGGAGCCTGATGCAGGGCTCAGTCCCAGGACCCCCAGCTCATGACCTGAGCTAAAGGCAGATGTTTAACCACTGAGCCACTCAGGCACCCCCTCCTGATTCTTGATAAAGAATGTTCTTATAAGCAATGAATACTGTTTCTTTGCATTACTGTTACCTTAAAAACAAGCAAATATAACAAAGTCCACATACTAGACAGAACTGATTACCACCAAATAAAGCCTGGACAAGACCAAATTTAATGATCTTTTTGTGAGGCAATAATATTACAACTCTTCAAAACCCAGTCCCCCCAGAGCAGCTATGATACATAGCCTACCCTAAATCACTTTGTACCATGAGAGAAATGACAGATGAAAAATGTGCCTTCTGATTAAAAACAACAAAAAAACCTTTGCGACCGTTGAATACACAAGGTATTTAATGTATTAATGTAAGTAAAAGTGCTGAGAAATTATGCAGGATTCTTAACATATTTAGCCAGAGAACTATTACCTTAAATAATTTAGCCTAGGACCATCCCTCTGAACTTAAATTCCTTGATTACCAAACACATTTTGGGAAATGCTGGTATAGGGAGAAGTCTTTTGTCCCAAGTATTAAATTTTGATTTTAAAGTGCTTTTGAAACACAGAGTTATTTGCCTTCTGTAGGCATTTGAAAATTAACGTCCCTTAACCCTTATCACTGAAACCCCTGATGTCAAATTTCTAGCCAAGGAAAGAGGCTGGACTCAAGTTAGCCTTCTGAGACATTTTATACAATAGTTTAAATAAGACATGGCTGAGCACAAAATGGCTAACTTAGAGGTACCAATTTCTAAAAAAATAATGAATATCCCAACTTAGTGGGGCACCTGGGTGGCTCAGTGGGTGGCTCAGTGGTTGAGCCTCTGCCTTTGGTTCAGGGCATGATCCTGGAGTTCTGGGATTAAGTCCCTCATTGGGCTCCCCATAGGAGCCTGCTTCTCTGTCTGCCTCTGTGTGTCTCATTCATAAATAAATCTTAAAAAAATACTCAGTAAAGGGGAAGTTTTTTGATTTTCCAAAGAATTCATTATATATAGGAACCCCTTTGGCAGAAGTTCCCTGGAACATTTTAGCTAGACTTCAATATTTACAGCTCTTCAGAGGGTCCATTATTCCCCACTCTCCCCAAAAGCAAGGTACAATTTTAAAATGAACAAAATTTTAAAATATTAGAGTAGGGGAAATGAGTAAAACAAGTGATTAGACCATTCTTTGGATAGCAGAATTCTATGCCTTTTTCCTACTTCATTTTTTGAAACTTTCTAGAAGTTTCCAATTTCAATTTTTTATTTAAATTTTAATTTTTATTTATTTATGATAGTCACACACAGAGAGAGAGAGAGAGGCAGAGACACAGGCAGAGGGAGAAGCAGGCTCCATGCACCGGGAGCCTGACGTGGGATTCGATCCCGGGTCTCCAGGATCGCGCCCTGGGCCAAAGGCAAGCGCCAAACCGCTGCGCCACCCAGGGATCCCCAATTTCTATTTTTTATAATGAGCGAAAAGCAAATAAAGAATGGAACCTCAAATTTTAGAGGCACCAGTTACATAGGTAATTGCTACCCCCTCCTATGTAGTTATTAATTTCCAGCGTTCATGCTGAAATAACACTGTTAAACTTAAAAATCGTTTTCCTTTATTGACCAAAGACATGAAGTTCTGAAGGATGAACACGGAAGGATTTCAAGACCAAAATGGCAAGTTTGTGTTTTAACAACTGAGTGCGTTCCATCGCGTCTTTGCTCTCTAACCCAGCAACCTCTCCCCGGAGTGCTGGGTCCCCACTGTTAGGGGCCTACACCACCGCCCATTAAAGGATGCCTGCAGAGAACTCCCGGAGTAGGATTAGCACTTCCACTGCTGGCTAGCAAAGTGGAAGACATTTGGTCTTCCCACTTGCCTCTTTAAAAAGAACAAAATAAATGTGAGAAAAGGGGGAAAACTTTTATACAGGGGGTGTTTTAAGCAAAGGTTTACCAACTCTGATACTGTATAAACCTTTGAAAACCACTGTTTTGTCAGAATGTTTCTCTTGCCATGGAAGTAATTTATTGCAATTATTGCAATACTGCAGACTAAGATTACTTTTTCTGGATGTTTTTTAAAACTGTCTTTTCCTCTTGTAAATTTAAGAAAACTCCATAGCTGTTTTTCCTTGACAATCAACATCCTTTACTGAATGCCCTCTGTGCATTCAACGAGCTACAATAGGCAACCTGGCGGGAAAGGAGATACAAATAGATGTTACAACCTGCTTTTGCAGAGAAGATACAAAGCAACCTATGAATACATTTAAGTGTGAACAACTTAACAGTAATGCAGTTGAGACAACATAGAAGGGGAAAAAGAGTTAATTCAAGGCTACTTCAGCTAGATTTTGGAGTGGTTATGGTCATAAACAGATACAGAAAAGTATTATTAAAAGCTGCCATTTATAGTCTTTACTACTTGCAAGACCGTATCATAGGCTCCATAGATTCGTCTCTAAGGTCACAAAGTACCAGATCTATTTGAATTTAGCCATTCCCACTCCATTAGGATAAAAATAACTCATGAGAGAGGATGCAAATGAACTTTGTTGTGGCAAAAGAGTTTAAGGATATGGTGAAAGTAGCTGTGTCATAGACATTCATGTCTAAAAGTCTAAAACACCCAGAACATTTGAGATAATATCCAACAAGGAATAGAATCACTGAAGTTTTTTCTGTATTTAAATCAAGGAAGTAACATAAAGCTATCTGTAAATTATCTATAAATGAACCGAAAATGGGGGAGACCAAAGGCAGTGAAGTCAATTTGGGGGGGGGGTGCTGTGATCTTGGAAGAAGACCTAATACAGGGTGTGACCTGGAAAGGTATAAACTAAAATTAACACATAAAAATACTAAAATTTAACTGAGAAAGGTTTATTTTTTTTTTCTGAGAAATGTTTAAATGGAATTCATTCAATATGACAGGAACAGAAAAATGAGGAAAAAGGCTGAAATTTTGCAATTCGGAATATTACTGTAATAAGTTGACTGTTAATCTAATTATAAATATATTTTTTTAAGATTTTAAGAGAGAGAGAGAGATAGTAAGAGAGAGCAGAAGGAGGAAGGAGAGGGAGAAGCAGGCTCCCTGCTGAGCAATAAGCCCTATGTG